TCACAACACTCGGTCTGACTGAGCGCTTCAAGGAGAAATAATAATTAAATTATGAAAATAATAATGCGTGTTTGGAGCATCGGTGTAGAGGAGCGTTGTCCGACCCCCCCCCCCAGTTGCTGTGCGAGCGAGCGGAGCATGACACCCCACTCAATTAACATAATTCACGGCCCAAATCCAACAGAACCGATCGGGCTGATTCGGTTCCGGTTCGGTCTCAGGTTACAACTCTAGTGCTCAGCCCTGCAGTACCCCATTAAGGCGGAACCACTTGGTTAATGTGACTCTGACAGATTTAGATGCTACGCTGGTGCCGCTGTTAAAAAAACAAAACTACATTCCACTATAATCGATTATGACGTACTCTTCCACGATGCAGAATCGTTTATGTCCGCATCCCGATGCATCGATTATTTGATTATTTTCCTCAGCTCTAATCAAAACTTGAATAAACTTAATAACCAATTGAGAAAACTAAAAGTAAACAAATGATCACTGATTTGCTGCTCTTACTCTTTTATGTCCTACATTATTGCTGCAAAGGTTTAGCTGTCTTGTTAAAGTTATTTCTCTAAAATGAAAGCGTTGACAAAAGAGTGGATATTTTGTATTCTGGTATAATTCCTAACTCTTTGATTCAACAAAGCTAATGCAAACTGCACATATATATTTTCTGATTTCAGATGGTGACCCCTGCCAGAATCAGGTTGTCGGAGTCTACAGTTTGTATCAGTAGCAGCGAAAGAGGAACTACTCGTAGTGTCAGTTCTCTTGTTCTAAAGCCTCCAGGTGACACCAGAAAGGGTTTCTCAATTGGTATCACACTGCTTGCAGTGTTTCGGTCATTTATTCATTCATTCATTCATTCAACTGTGATTGATCCCATTTTCCTTTTCTTTCTCTGTAACTGCGGCCAAAGACAAAGACAGAAGCTCTGTGGAGAAGGTGTGTTCATGTAACACAAATGTTAAAGCCACACTAAGCAACTTTTTCATCATTTTCTTGAGCTAATATGTGCTAAAATGACACTTGGCATGGTTAATTAAAAGTCACTCAGAGCCCCATCACCCTCTATGGCCAGAATATTGCACTTGCAATTTCAGAGTGGTAGTTGCCACCTGTTGAACTTGAAAAAATTGAGTTGACATACCTGGCGCTGAGGTCTGCTTCCAGCACGTTTCCTGCATGTTTTAGATCATGAACACAGCTGATTTATTTAATTTAGTGATGGAACTACGTCTGTAGACCCTAATGAAGGCTGGGGAGACGTTTCAGCTGTTAGATTAAGGTGTTAAAAAGATGAATGCACAGCCAGGAGATAGGTTTCACCATTGGTTCTAATAATCCTACACTGGGGGTGCTGAAAGCAGCCAAAGCTGCCTAGTGTGCCATTGGAGCCATTACGCAACATCATGCAACTCAAATTTAGTTTGCAGGAAACACCAGGCTAGTCATTAAAGATGTTTCATGTAAGATGATGAAAAGGTGGTACAAGCATTCAAAATATCGGCTTTCTTCTGACTTATTTCCATGTTAAATCCTATCTTGGTTATTTTTTTTAGAAGACACACCATGCCGGCAAATCAGCGCAATCATACTGCAACGGTGTGTCTTATAAACGCGCCATGCCGGCATGGCGATGCGCAAGTTGTGCGGCATTCCTTCCGCCTTGCTTGGTAGTGAAATTTCTGTAATTGTCTGTTTTATAAATGGCTATTTCGCCTTGGCGCAACAGAGGGAGGTGTCATGATAATGTGGGAAGTTACTGTTGAGCGCTGGCTGGCAACTATATTGAAAATGAAGGTAAAAACAGGCTGTAAGTTTCACTTTTGTAAACTGAATCAGCTGGGATGATAATCTAGAGCAGTGCAGCACTCCTGTTAGAGCTGGAGGTCAAATCACCAGAGACTGCACTGTGGAGGACAGACACCTTTAGGAGCAGCTTGTTAAAATAAAACCTAATGAGCGCGGCTTCAATTGCAATAACAATTTCAGTTTTAATCATTCACTAAACATAAAGGATCATTCCATCCATTCATTGTATTTTTGTCTTGCAGAAGATCTTTGTGGCAGAAGCAAAACAAGTGGGTGTAACTGGACAGGAAGAAGAAAACTGTCAAGGTTTTTAAATTGTGTTTGACTTGAGCAAAGTCCCCACATCCAGCTTTTTCTTGAATCTTTCTAAGCGCTTTCACGTCTCTCATACTTACAGATAATTACTTTGTGCCTGACACTCAGCCCAGAGTGCGAGACAATGTGTAAGCCAAGTGTTGAACTCTTAACGTACTATCATGTACATTTAAGTACATCTGAATAGGTCTGTCTGTTCAAATTACAGATCCTTCAGGAAGAGCAGCCTTTCTGTGTCTGAAATGTTAATGATGCCAACACAGAAAATGGGATCTGCGCCCAGGCCTGGTAAACAAAGCAGACATCAGTTACCTTCAGTAGGACTCAGTTGCCAACAAACATGTATGCGTTTATGTTTTTATCTATTACTATTATTTTCTTTTCATTTATCCTAAGTGTCCAATTTAAGAGTGCTGGGACTGCTGGAACGTTGCCCGTCCTCTGCGCAGAGATGGTCCGTTTCAGACTCGGACCTTGTTCTTCAGAAGAAGCTTCATAGTGAACTCACTCAGCGCTTGCAGCATGTTCTCACAGAGAGAAAGACAGATCCTCAATATCAGGAGGAATCTGCATGTCAGACAAATGCATCAAAATCTAGAGGCAACTCTAAAGACAGAGGCTCAGGAACAGTGCCCGGTTCTTCGTTGCAGTCCCCCAATGTGAAGCAAGTTCGCAGAAACGATCAGAGAAAGGGCCAGAGGACACTGGAGGCAGACACTGTTCCAGAAGAAACTTCAGACAAGACGTCTGCAGGAAAAAATAAACCAAACAGAAAAGAATCCAAGGTTAAAGAGAAAGTGAAGATAGAACTGTTATACAAGGAGCAAGTAGGGATTCTGTAGATTTAACTGCTTTTTTAATGCTCTTGTTTTTTTTTTTAAATGTCCTGCTCTCTCAGAAGGACGCAGATGTTACAGCCAGCATGATGAAGCGTATCTCTAGTCATTATGAAATCAACACTCGATCCAAAGCAAAAGACACCATAGAAAACAACATTCCGATCTGGAATCCTCCTCGCATCAGCAGGTACGTATAACCAGAGTTTGTTTTAGAGCAGAAAACCAATGCAGACATTTTCACTGATTCTTATATCCTTGCAGTAGAGCAGTCTTCACCATGAGCATGGTTTATTCTGGCAGAGTAAGGGCCTATTGTTTCATTTAGGCTTTGGACAAACTTAAAAAATGCTAAATCCTGTTTTCCTGATTGTTTTACTGACAATGAGATTTGTGTTTAAAATAGAAAGAAGCACCAAAAGATGCAAGTTTGAGGAAATCTTTTACGAAAACGACAACAGACTCTGTCAGCAACATGTAATACAAGTCCTGAAATATTTCAAAGCAATCTGGCTAAATGAATATATTTAATGCCTTTTTTCTGTTGTGCAGAAAAGACATCTTTGCATTCAGCAATGATTCGCCTGTCGGCATTGGGGTAAATCTTTCTGCATTTGTTTTTAATGTATTTTTGTATTTAGACTACAAGTGTGATCTGTTATTTACTTTAGGGCGTGAACAGAACCCTCAATAAAACCTTTGACACGTCAAAAAGGCAAGTCAGTAGATAAAAGTGTACAAAGAGTGATTGTTGGAGATTTCGTCCACTGAAACATTAATTATTTTGTAATAAAACTTGTTAAATGTTATATTTTTGTGCTGCTCTACACCGATATCCACAGCTCTTCGGTATGTCTCAGCACAAACAAGGCACAACCTAAACCTGTGGCCAAGGTAGGTGGCCGTTGTGCTTCACACAAGTCTACAGGCGATCCAAGACAGTTTTTTTTGTAATTTCTCATTAGAAGAGAGAAGATAACAGTGGCAATAATACTGTTACAATGTTCAAAGGTACATCTGTAACTGTCATCTTCTGTTTATGTGATGCAGAAGAAGAGATACGTGAAAGAACATCTGTTTAGTGACACAGACACAGACAACGCCCCAACAGAGGTCAGCTGGCTGAAAAAGTCAGCCAGGAGGTCCAAACCTCAAGTTACCAAATATCCCAAACAGGCACTTAAGAAACCCAAAGCTGCCTCTCCTTCGTCTCTACGTAGGTTCATTAAAGCCATGTCCAGGCTTGTCAGTTCTAATCGATCACAAAAAAAAAAACATTTTGGTCATGAAAACATGTCACCCTGTTACAAAAGATATTTTTGTTGTATTTTTATTACAGACACATTTCCAGACGTCCTCCCATCTGTTCAGAAAGACTCAAAAGGTGATAAGAAACCAAAGGTCAGTGAAGTCACTGAAGCACTATTCAATGTAGCCACTAGGTGTCACTGTTGGTTAAGAAAGATCTTTGTTTCAAAAGGCTCTGAATCCACCAAAGATGGTGGAACAAGCTCCCAGAAGACCACATGCAGCAGGCAGGAGGTCCAGACAAGCAGCAGCCAGCTCAGCCAAAAGCTACCAAGAGCCAGATACTGATGACGACCAGTCTGAAGCAGAAAAGCCTCAGCCACCCAAAGTAAGACTTTTTTTTTGTCATAACACAAGAATGTTGTTCCTAATTTTTTTGTTTTCTCTAGTTAGTCCTGAACAAAATACTCTTGTTCTTCTTCTCTCTACTAACAACTAATTGGTAGATAATTATGTTACTGAACAACTACATTTAACAGTAAAACATCTCAGCTTTGATTTTCAGATTTTTAGCTAAAAGTCAAGACCACAAAGTCACGACTCTAAATAATAGATAGCAAAATGTTATTATTTTGATGAACACTGCAGCGGTAGTTTTAATTGGTTGAAAATAATCGTTTCACATTCAGTGAGTGCTAGGATTTTACCAGCTTAGTGACCAAGTGGTATGAGTGTGTCTCACTCTTAAGTCCTGATACTAATAGAAACCAATATATGCTGTATCAGTGTGAGAAATTAATAAATGATTCTTCCCATCAATATAGTACACATCTACTGATGACCTCAAGAGTAGTGGGAAAATTCAAGACACCGTTCAAACCAAGAAGAACACAACCACCAGCAAACCAACGTCTAAAAAGCTACAGCTGCATCCTGCATCAGAGACATCACCTCCCACCAAGGCAGAAGTAGCAGAAGCTTCTGTGAATTTATCTCAATTGTCAAAGACTTTTGATTAAATTTGAAAGCATTGTAATGAGTATCTTACTCCAGTCGTTTATTATTTGATACTCTACCTGCAGATGTATTGTAGAAACTGTTCTGTTAACTTTTGATCTGCTTACCTACAGACACATCGTGGAGGGCTGCAGGAAAACAGGGAGAAGTTCGATGAAGATCTACAAATGAAAAAGAAAACCGTTAACATGTCTGAAGAGAGCTACAGGAGAACAGACACTATCAGTCGGGCAGATTCAAAGAAGCAAAATATCCCTAAGGTAGAGTTTTTTCTTCAGTTAAGGACGTTCAGTTTGTATAACATGACTTGCTGAATAAAGTTCATTAGTTTATGATATTTTAATGCTGTTGTCACACATGGTTAAGGACGTGCATATCCATGTGTTAGTTCTAAACGGGTTTAATGTTAATTTCTCACCAGTGACTCAAACACCTTCTTTTCAGGCTCAGCAGGTTAAACCTGGGAAAGCTCTTCACAAAACTTTGAAGTCGAATAAGAAAAGTGTCGTCCATGCCCGAGAAGAGACGAGTGCTTTGAAGGATTCCTTGGCTGCCAGCCAGACCTCTTTCTGTCTATCTCCTCCTCCCATCGAGGGAATGAGATGTAAGACTTTTCTGGAAAGCTTCGCTCCAACATCAGTTAAACAACAGTCATTTGACTCCCTTGACATCAGCTGATGTGTGTTAAATGTTTCATGTTTGGTCAACTGGTGTCATTTCATCTCATCTGCTCCATTTGTTACTTAATAGCTCTCACATATATTAATTTAGTTTGGATTGTAATACCATTAGTAGAATAGTTTTACACTGTAGATAAGATTCTGTGTAACAACTGTAAATGATTACAACGTGGTCTATATATTGACCTTCTACACTCCCAACTTGTGAAGCCAGCTGTTTGAACATCTGTGTTTATTTTGGATCCTCATAGCTGTTGAGAGGTCAGCTCCGACATTGGATTTGACCTTCCCGACTGTCCTCACCCCACGGGAATCTCCACTCCCTGCCTCCCCTAAGCCTCCCTGCCAGGAAACCCCCTCACCAATCCCGCTGCTACCCAAACTTCACTCGGCCGTCGGCAGTAAAGAAAAACGCAAACCGCCTTCTTTGCACAAAGCAGAGAAAGGCCACCGATCGTCCAAGATCCAGTTCATCAAGTCCATCCCGTCTCCCTGTTCAGTGGGGGGTCAGACCCCAGCACCCAGTCCTCCCACTGGACCTGATGCAGCAGAGGTACATCTCCTTGGTGTCTTAAATATAAAAATAAACATTGTAATTAGATAGTTTTTAAATAGTGTGAAATTAAGTGAGTATATTCTAGTTCTCACTTAGTTTCTTTTGTATTTCAGTTGTCATGTGTGACTTGAATTTTTATCTTACCGTTAAGATCTGATTCATATACCTTTACTTTATGTGCAAGTCACACACCACTGATTAGTGAGAATCAGTGGAATTAAAGGAATGTTGCTGTTATTCATTGGATGACCAACACTGTCATTCATGGTTAGTGGATCCTTAGTCCTGGATGTGATTAAATAAAATGTCCTCCTCCTGACTGATGGAGAAGGCAAAGTACTTAACTCCCTGAATAGCTTTTTTTAAATTCAAGATTTATGGTACTTTTTAAGAAGCTTAATTGTTATCAATTACAGATTCTTGGGACCTCAGCTGTTAAGGAAAATATACAATAGCTATATCCAAATTAAATCATAAACATTCCCCCTAAAATCACATCATGTGTGGTGAAGTGGGAGGATGTCTTACAGCAGAAAGTTACCTGGAAAAACATAGAGGCAGATTTCCATTGTGTTTGGTTTCTTGTCCAGGCTGTATATGATGCCTTACCCAGCGCAGCCAGCCTCCATGTGTGGGGCAAGAGTGAGACGCCCGAAGCACATTGCTGAAACATCACTTCTCCCAGACATAATTATTGTTTCTGAGGCGACAAAACAGCTGATAATTCTCAAACTTACTGTGCCTTAGGAAGAGCATATGGAAGAGGCAAATGTAAGAACACATGCTAAGTACCAGGAGCTAGTAGAGAGGTCAGGCATGACGCTGGAAGATGTACTACGAGCCAGCTGAGGTGGGCTGTAGGGGTTTTGCAGGACGCTCACTCTTAAGCCCTTAATGAACTGGGGCTAACAGAAGTAGCTAGGAAGAGGGCTATCCCGTCTGTATGTGAAGCTGCACAGATTGCCACAAGGTGGCTATGGATTCAGAGGGCTGATCCTTGAGCAGTTCCTGCTGGGATGGGAGGTTGCCTGGGCGAGGGTGTCTTATGCTGAAAGATCCAAAACACTCGGTGACCCTAGGTTACATCACTGATGATGCATCCCAGTGCATCAGTAGATGTATCTTGTACATATGGTACTACATTTTAAGAAGCTTCATTCTTAATAAGTACAGATTTCTGAGCCCTTAAATACATGATGGCTATATCTAAACAAAATCATAAAGGGTTCCCCTAAAATCACATAATGTATTTGAGACCACCTGAAAAACTGAGAAGCATGATTGAAATGACCTTTTTAACCAGAAGATCAGAAAATAGCACTGCTGTGCTTCATCAGTGCTGCTTAATGCACTGTGATATGTTCTGATCATTACCCATCACTAATCCGTGGCAGACGTGGAGATCAGATGTCCATCAAATGGGTTTATATGTTTTTCACCTTCTTTCCCTAAATGTTTGTTTCCAGATGTGTGCAGTCCAGCAGCATCTGTCCTCAGCACTTCCGTCTCCTTTATTCACTCAACCCTTGCTGACATCCTCTCTCCTTGTGCTGGACCAGCCACCTGTAGCCTTGCCTCCTCTGTCACCGTTGGCTGAAAATAGCATTAGCCAAGGCTGCCAACTTGAATTCAGCAATTCGTCTCCATTGTCCCTCGGTCCATCGAGTAGGTCATTAGCACCAGGCAGAAAAAGTAAGGAGAGGTCTATGGCTACCATGATTGACTCTTCCAAATCAGAGGTTTGGTCATTTTTCAAGCTTTAAACAGAGCATGAATCTGAGCGTAGCCACATCGAGTGTTGATTTCTCTGTTTTTATCCTTACAGAAAACGCCGCTCACTGACAAGGGAACAGAACTGTCACAGCCTCTTGTCTCAGGTAAAAGATGTACTGTGGGTCTTGGTTTGTATATGAGATCAGTTAGGTCTCTTACATCAAGACTAAATGACAGTTCATTTTAAAATTTAAGTTGTGGCCACTTGTTTTTATGACTTGTTCTTTTGGTTAGGGCTGGCAATAATTCAACAACGATATATATTGATCTATAGATAGGTTCAATAGGAAACAAATGGATCAACAAAAACTGAAATAAAAGTTTCCTTTATCCATTATAGCCTGCTGGATAGCTTCATAAGCGAGCCACCCAACCAATCAAAAACAGTCACTGTCACCAAGCTATCCTCTCAAGCCTGAGCAGACAGCAATGTAACTAGATGTTGCAGCAAGGAGAGGTGGAAGAAATTGTCCCGAAAAAATGTTACAGTACCTCACCAGGGTGGCGGTATCGTCATTCTTACAAGTCTGACAACAAACAACGGTGGTTTGCAACAAAGAATCGATTAAAAGAAACAAGTCTGGTATAGCAATGGCCTAAGATGGCCTGGGCTACACTTAATATATATTTGACATTTGTCATATAATTTTCAATAAGTATTGATATCGATCAATGTGATTTATTTTTCTATATTGTCCAGCCCTACTTTTGGTCATGACCCAAAGATCGTGACCATACGAGGAATTTAGAGTGACCTATCACCGTTAGGTTGTAAATGACACATGACAAGAAAAAGCTGTTTATTGTGATTTAATAGGGTTTTTTTTTTTTCGTTTATTTATTTTCCAGGACCCACTCGTAAGCGCCGTGTCTCATTGTCCAGTCATTCCGATGAAGATGAGACGGAACAAAAAGTGAAAAGTAGAAAGAGAAGACAGAACTCTCCCCGAATGAAGCCCAGGAAACTTTTTAAGTCCTGTAAGACAAAATCTTGTTATTTGTGTTTAAACTAACAGAAAACAGAGCTACGGTTCATAAATCATTAAAACAGAAAACCAAACACTGCAATTACCTACTGAGCATTATGTCATCATCATAGTTTTTACATCATAATAAATACGATTTTCATTTGTGTTGTTATCCTGTAAAGAAAAGTTAGAATCGAAAACGTTTAAATAAAGTGAACTCCCAAATAAATCATCCGTATTTTTATGCACAGTTACTGAGATGTCCACTACAGACGAGTTTAGCCACATAAGTTCCTTTAACTGGGAAGCTGAAGAGGCGGGTGGAGATGTGGACTTGGATGAAGGTTTAGAGTTGCCACCAACTGGTTTAAACACAAGTGACATTTGTCATCAGTGGGGATCGAAGCTGAAGATAAAGCTCCAGGTGAATCAGTCGTCATTGTTCTCTGAAATGTCCTGCTTGGTGTTGGCCGTGTGTGGTTATTCAAACCACCTCTGCCAAAATGTATGATGAATGTTTTCAGAGCCAATGTAACATAATGGAGAGCTACAACAAGCAGTCTTTGAAGACCATGCAGCAGCATGTCACCTCCATCAATGTTAAACTCTGCAAGTACAGGTCAGTTACTGTAAAATGAATTAGACTTTTTTATTTGTTTTAAAGTGAATTTACTGGAGGTTTTTCTTCTCTTCACAGAACTCAGAAGCTCGAACAAATTAAAAAGGTCCTTTTGGAAGAGATTCATCATTTGGAGCAGGACGACGTGCTGAAAAACATGGAAAAAGACCTGAATGTGGGTTTTTATGACTCTTTGTCGTCTTTAGTTAAGTAATAAAATAACTGAGGCAAAAACATAGAAAGTGAATGAATAAAAACTCATTCTACATACAACAACGATGGAAGAGAATGTGTTTTTGTAATTGTGGATTTGACCAGGATCTGATCATTCTGAACCCTCCTGTTCTGCAGAGTCACTGGAAAAAGCAGATGACTGCTTTTCATTCTCACCAGAAGCAGGAAACCAGAAGGTGAATTTCAAAGAACAAGCCTTTAATTATTTTGCCACGGTGTCTGATCAGCGATGATCCCTCAGGCCAAAAGACTCTAAAACGTTCACTTACCCACTTGTTTATCCTGCAGAGCTTGGATTATAATGTTTGACTGGAAAAACATTTCCCCCTCAGGATTATCATCAGAAACTAAATATGTAAAAGCTTTTTTTTTTTGGGAGAGATGTAGTCACTTCCTCTTTATATAACTAATGTGGGTTAACAGATGCGTGAAGTGCTTGACAGTTATTCACTTAGCAGCCATTTTTACACATGAAGCCCCCCGTTTTATCAGCATGCCCCAAGCTCTCCACGCTTTCATTTGCTGGAACGTTGTCATTTTTATTTATTTCCTTGCTGCTGGTTTTGAAAACTATTTTCCAACTTGCTATGAAATTTCTACATAATAGTGCCTAATTTTATTCCAGGCAATCATCACATGCCTAATGGTTTAAGTTAAGATTCTCCTGTGAAAATGTAGACCTAAAAGTTTTGTTTTTGTTTGAGCGGATCCAGAAATCTTTTTGTATTGTTGTGACCCGTGTTTATGCTTATTGTCTCTAATGTGTATGAAATCAGACTTTCTTTCTGGTCTCCCCCCCAGAATTGACACATTGAGGGGTACGTTTGGATCATGCCAGAGCTTAGAGTCAGAGGAGAGAATCTTCTCATCAGAGGTGAGATTTTCACTCACGTCTGATGTTTAAGTCTCATTCAGCTGTGGGAAGCACGTGTTTTATATTATTTACTTATTTTGACAATGAAATGCAAGCATCTAATGTATTTCCCTGGCCATCATGCTCTGCTGCTTCCAGATGGACTTGGTAAGGAAAGAGATGAAGTCCATTCAGGACCGAGTCCTCAACGAGATGGTGAGTTGACCTCTTCACTGAAATAATTAACTCCTAAAAGAGCACATGACTGATGGTGATTTGTGGTTGTTTAAATGTTTTTTTTCTACTCCTGAATGTTTCTTTGTGCTCGTGTGCCATTTGTAGCTCGAGGGTGAGATCCAGAGTGTGAAGAGAGGACTGCACGCATTGTTTTTCCCTTGACTGAGCCAGGTTTGAGTTGAAGGTCTCTATATGGAAAAGGGATGTTTATGTCAATATGTTACGCATATTTCAATGTGCAGGTTCTGATGTGGTCAGAATGTTTGTGGTTGCATGAAGTGTATTTCCCTTTTCGTCAGGCTCTTCTTTAGTTTTAATGTACCAGTAATTTCAGCACTGGTCTGTACTTTATATACACTCTGCTGTTGTTTTTAATTCTAACTCTTTAATGAAACTTCTGACACTAATATTTAGAGATTACCTTCAGTGTGAACTGTGACATTTTAATATACATGTATATATTTATTCAGAAACTTTTGAGTCATAAGTTAGCAGCTAAACATTGAAATTCTAAAATGTACTTGTTACGTATAAAAACGTCAACTACTTTATTCTCAGTTGCAAATAAAACTGTTAAAAAGCAAACACCAGTCTTTCTTATAAAAGTTGTATTTTGAAGACGATTCAGAAGTAGTGCTTACAAAGAATTCCTCTTTTCAGTGAAGACAGTGACAGTCCCATTCTGATTGACATACTGTATGTACAGTTAATATAGGGGCGGCAGTAGCTCAACAAGTTAAGCGGGTTGTCCAGTTATCGGAAGGTTGCAGGTTCGATCCCGGCTCCGGACAGAGAATTCAGTTGTTGTGTCCTTGGGCAAGACACTTAACCCACCTTGCCTGCTGGTGGTGGTCGGAGGGACCGGTGGCGCCTGTGCTCGGCAGCCTCGCCTCTGTGAGCGCGCCCCAGGGCAGCTGTGGCTACATCGTAGCTCATCACCATCTGTTTGTGAATGTGTGTGTGAATGGATGAATGATACACTGTAGTGTAAAGCGCTTTGGAGTCCTTACTCTGAGAGGCGCTATACAAGTGCGGGTCATTTATCATTTAATATCAAACTCCACCCCCAGCCTGACCGTGTCTGCAGACTTCAGTCTGTACACAGAAGAGACACATTAGTCATCAGTCAACAAAAGGTGAAGCTGATCACATGCACTACTTCTTCCCACGACACGGATTCACGCCGTTTCGTCAAAGTAGTCAACGACTTAGTAGAAAACAGAAAAAGATTGTTTTTTTTTCTCCCTCTGCTCTTGTCCTGAGAGTCAGAGGTTCCGCCCAAGTCTCTTCCACGTTGCATCCAGGGGTCTCCAGGACACGCTGCTGCAAACATTGCCATCATTTCCGCCTGCACCCCCACCCTTCTTCACACTGACAAAAACCGTGGGCGCTGGAAGAAAGTGAAAGACACGCTGAAGACAAAAACAAGGCTCCAGGCTCTTCGATCTGTCTCCACCAAGCAGCGTCAAGCTGCTTCAGGACATCTCTAGGCTCAGCATTTCTTCACGGAAGAAACTCAGCTTTCATGGCCGGTGGAACCTGGAGGGAAACACGGCAACAATTGTGAGACGAGAGGCGTCCTTTGACTTTAAATCCGACTGTTCATTAATCAGCAGCTATGTTTAACAGCTTTGTGCACAGAGGAGCTGAAACACGTACTCTTGTCCTCTCTCTGGGTCACTAGTACATCTCACAAACACACTCAGCCAAGGACATTGTGCCATTTCATCATTTCTCTGCCTTATTGCGTGAGCTCTCCAAGGGACAACCTCCCCACTTTAGAAGCTCGCCTTCTATTTTTAGCCTTTCTTGTGCTAATTTTAGACCACTGCAGTCCAGAATAGAGCATGCTTGCATTTATAAACAGGATAGAACACACGCTTCAGAATACTAACCTGGTTAAGTGTTTGCTCGAGGCGTGGACTTCCATCTCGGTGCTCTTGAACTCGTTCAGCTCCTTTCGGATTGCAGCCTGTGAGGAGAAGAGTAGAAGAGCCATCAGTGAGTCCCATAATGCATACTGACCGGCCGTGAACATCAATGTGACAGCAGGAGAAAGAAAATATAATCAGTCTAAAAAATTTGATCAGGATGTGGGGGCGGATAAGCGAATGACAGCTCAGAGTCTGAGGAATTTTGGTAATCTCTGACCTAAATTGTAAACTTGCATTGGTGCCAGGTTTGAGTAAATTGTGGCAGGACCTAGAGGTCACCACAGGACTCGTCTACGCACCTTGTCTGCAGCCGAGAGACGAGTCCAGGGCTTGTCTGCTCTCCTGTCATAGTCCTGAGCTTTGGCCACCTCCACATAGTCACTGAAGCGGATTAAAATCTTTCTCTCTCGGAGCTCATCTACTGTTGGCCGCTGATTGAGCTGAAAGAAATGAATAAATAAAATTCAGTTTTCTGGTGTTTGTGTTGAAGCAACCTGTCTGAATGTTGTCAGGACTATACCTTTCTGTTCAGCCGCTGTTTTATCTCTCTCCTCTCCTCTTGTTCTGTCTGATCGTTTCTTTCTGTAGAAATAAAAATAAATACTAGAAATGAAAAATTAAATTTGAGCAGGTTGTTTAATAAGACTTAAAATAAATGACCATAAGCTAATTTCAGATTTTTCTGTGATCCCAGTTTAATTAAATACCAGTAAGTCATATTTTTAAATGACAGATCTGATATTTAAACTCACGTTTTAAAATGTTCCGACTCTCCAGCTCCTCCACATTCGGTCTCTGGCTCAGCCTCCTGCGGAGAAACACCAAAACCACGTTTTGAACCATTCTGGCTTTTTCTGCTTCGTCCTTTTTTTTCTCTAAACCGGCTGTAGTTTCTTCACTGTGCGCGTTCTTGAGAGGAACCCCCTATGCTTCCATCTCGCATCCAAACCGCGGCTGTGGTGCATCGGCAGAGGAGATCCCCACATTTGGAACAGCCAAAGAGGCGCAAATTGTCCGGTTTGCGGATTCTCCACCACGTTATGAGTCGCTGCCTCTGTGCAGCATCTGAACTGCTGCCTCTCTGTTGCTCTCTGCTGCGGCAGCGGGGGCACTCCTCTCCACTATCCGCCTCTGGCGCTTTTGAAGCAGGTCGTGATGTGCTGGAGGGGCGCGACTCCGCTAGTCTCCCTGGTTACTGCATACATAATGAGCTGGAGGCGGAGCCTATCAGGATTCTACTACAGGCATCCCCAGTCTTTTATGAGCTGTAGTGGCATCGCCTGTTACTCAAACTGTTGCATCAGACCATATTAGGATTAATACAGAATTTTATAAGAAAGAAGAAAAATAATCTATATTTATTAAAAAATATTAGAATAATCAAAGTAACCCTGACATAAAAGCAGTGGTTGCACAGTCAGCTTTTAAATATGTTTGTTTATTTATTTGGCAGACGCTTTTATCCTAAGCGAATTACAGTTTATAACCTATAGGGCATGTTGTGATCTGAGGGGAAACCGGAGTACCCGGAGGAATCCCACGCATGCATGGGGAGAACACGCAACTCCACGCAGAAAGCTGACTTTCGAACCTGCGACCTTCGTGCTGCGAGGCAACAGTGCTAACAACTGCGCCACCATGCAGCCCATAAATAAATACCATAAATAAAATTGTAACCATCAAAGCACCTGAAAGGTCTCCAAAATCCTACCAGAGCCACTGTGTGTGTGCTCTTAAATGAATAATAGATGTAAGCTGCATAAAAGGCTCGACTTTAGACAGCATGTGGGAAACACCCACATGGAGGAGGAAAGTACAGAAAGAACTGAATGCCTGCAAACAGCAGGACTCCCTTTATCCTTTTGCACCCATGAACACTTTCAAGTTTGGTTATGTAAAACATCAAAGTTAAGTCACAGATATGCAGACCTGGTCACAATAAAAAGTCACTGTGTGTGTGTTCAGAGATGTGCATGCTATAAATGAAATAACTTAACCAAGTTTAAAGTAACTGAAAAAAAAGTCAAAATTTCCCTTATTTGCTATTTAGCATCCATCTTTGTTAGACAAAGTAGTCTCAAAAATGTGTTGGTTTAATCTAAGTTACAGCACCTTTATTTTCCCCCTCGGCAGCATATTGTGTAAGAAGTCAGCCAAGCTCTTTAATAATTCACATGTATGAGTACATATCTATAAATAGAGTGTAAAATCAGCCATTCCTCAGAGAAGTCTTATAATAGAAACAGGAGCATCGTGAGTGTTTATTTATTTTTTTTTAAGAAAAGTCAGTTTTATGAGGAAAAAACATTAATTAGGATTATTTTTTTTCAAACCTCAAAAGCACTCACTGATCCCTCCCCTGTTAAAAGCTTCTTCCCTGATCAACATTTTATGAATTCAGTTATTTTTGCTGCTTCCAAATCTCATCAGGCTGGAGTTAAAACTGATGATTCCGTTACTGAAAACCGAAAATGTTTTCTCAGCTCAGAAAACCACTGCCAAAGCCTTGGCAAAAACAAGCATCCACTGTACTATTGACCGCTGTCCGGGTTGCTTAGCAACAACATCGTGAAGACAATAAAGTCTTCCTGCAGAAAATTTTTGCTCCTCCCTAGCAACACGGAGAAGGGGGTTTCACCACTACTCACAGAGCTGCGTGTGCTTTAAATGGCATTCTGTGGCTATTTTTAGAAACGGGTGGATGTTTTCTTTTCATGCAAATTTAACTAAACAGTCGGCTCTTTTTCTAAGAGCTAAATCAGTTTCAGTAAACAATTAGTTATGAGGTTAGAGAATTTTCTGCATTGTCCTCAACGATCAAATGCAATTATTGGTCCACAGATTTCAAGAGAGAATCTCATAATAAACTGAAATAATTCTCACAAATCACATAAATGCACAGAAAACAGTGAAGGATTTTGATTTCAAACTAAGGATAAGATGGAATGAAAAGCTATAAATACACCAGGCAGGGGAGGAATGAAATATCCAAACAAAAGAATGAAAAACCAACGTGTGGGTGGCTCTTCGTCTTTAATTGCCATTTCCAACTGCACCAGGGAGACATCCTAGCGCATTTCCTTTGTCGAGAACCAATGCAGAGTATCTGCCTTGCCCTACTATAATTTCTGCTGATATAAGTCCGCGATGTTTGAGGAGAGGCAGGAGTGCATGGGCGGAGGAATGCATTATTGAACAGTGGCAGGAGCTAAGATTAGAAACAGCAGAGTGTGGTTGCAGCTTTGGAACTAAATACAGAAAGGTCATCTATCACTGACACAATGGAGAGGGCATATTATGGTCTATCATTAATTCTGCTGTAATTGCACCAAATGTACACTGCCCAGCCTCCCAAAAAAGTTGCCACCTTGATTTAACTGAGCAAATAAGTTCAAGCCTCCTATTGGATAATTACTGCATGGGCAGTTATCTTTCAGCTGGTAGCAAGTTATTTAACCCCAACTGGTGCAATGAGTTGCTTTTTGTTTCTTAAACAATCATGTAAGACACATCTGATGGTCGTGGAAACTCTTGAAGACCCTGCTCTTCAGAGAGCATCTTCTTAACTAGCACCTTGCCTGCACCCGTCCCCCCTCCTTGTTCCCTACTCTCCATGACTGATGTCAATGTTGTTGTTGTTATTGTTGTTGTTAGCCTCAAGGGCAAAATGCCGATTATCACTTGTAAGTCGCTTTGGACAAAAGCGTCTGCTACATACATAAACCTAAACATGTTAGTCTGTGTGAGAAGGGTCATGTCTTTGGCATCAAACAGAGAAAACATCAAAATTGGGTTAAGAACTGTCCAACGCTTTATTATAAACTGGTCTGATGAGTCCGGATGGACCATGTTCCAGAGTGATGGGATCATCAGGGTAAGAAGAGAGGCAGATGAAGTGATGCACCCATCATGCCTAGTGCCTACTGTACAATACTGTGGGGGCAGTGTTATGATCTGGGGTTGCTGCAGTTGGTCAGGTCTAGGTTCAGCAACAGGTTGTGCTCCAAGAATGAGATCAGCTGACTACCTGAATCTACTAAATGACCAGATTATTCCATCTTCCCTGATGGCACGGGCATATTCCAAGATGACAATTCCAGGATTCATGAGGCTCAAATAGTGAAATAGTGCTTCAAGGAGCATGAGACATCATTTTCACACATGAATTGACCACCACAGAGAATCTCTGAGAAGTGCTGGAGAAGGCTTTGTGCAGCGGTCAGACTCCACCATCATCAAAGCAAGATCCTGGTGAAACATTAAATGCAGCACTGGATGGAAATAAATCATGTTACTTGCAGAAGCTTATCGAAACAACGCCACGGCGAATGTGTGCTGTAATCAAAGCTAAAGGTGATTCAACAAAACATTTGTGAGTGACCTTTTTATTTGGGGGTGACTGTTTTTGGCCGGGCTGTATCGTCTACAGGTTTAGATGAAAAAGACCGAACAGAAGGTGGAATGCTAGAAGGGTTTGGTGTGTTGTTTTGTCGTTTATCATGACTAAAAATACTCTTTAAATCATAGCAAGAATGATCCTCAGCAGTTTTCATGTCTGTGTTGTCTGTTAGACAAGCTGCAGTCACGCTCCTCCTTCTCCTTCACAGTCCTGCTGTTGTTTGGTTACTGATCCCTGAACACCTTTCAAATGATCATAAGTCTAATAATAGAAGAGGCAGTGTGATTAGCTGTCTTCCAGACGCCTGATGGAGATTGTTCTTTTTGAAGTGTGGGAGGCACTTTGGTTCTTGGCTGTGACTTTTCACACAGCAGGTTACGCAATGCTCTGCTGCGCCCCGGTTTGATATGTCAGTGTTAAAGAATCTTGTGACACATTCACACACAAGATCGCTTCTGTCCGTCTGTGGGCAGAAATGTCTCGGCTGTATTAAAAATAAACGTTTCGCTTAATGTTCTTGCTCTGAGGCATGAACATCAACAGAGCTTTGTGTTCTAAAACATTTCCCAGAAGCGGTGTTGGTCTGCACTTGTTGCTCTCCACAAGCAGACGGTGGTGGTGGTTTGAAAGCACTGAATGAACATTTTGAGTGCCAAAATATTCAGGATTTTTCTTCCATTTGGATAGTTTGCAAATAAAAGACTCGTGGCTTCTTGAATTAAGGGTCTGCCATTGAAGAAAATGAAAAACATGAATCCAACATGTTCTTTTGTGAGCTGTAGCAGATGGTCGATAAAATGAGTTAATGTGAAACAGACAACCCAATTGGAGCCAAATGGTAAACGATGAGCAAAACCTTCGCTGTTGACACAAAAGCATTACCTGGATCTACACTGTTGCATCAGAAACTTCACAGGAAGTGTGACATTAGGATGACAAAACACACAACACACCATCCAAACTAGTTCTAAAATTATTTGATCAGAAATCTAAAGATTCTTACTTGGCGAGTTTCATCTCGATCTGCTGGCGGATCTCCTGCCGCTCCTGATCGCTTCGTGCCGGAAAGATGTTCCTGTCCTCCAGCTCCTGTTTGCTCGGCCTGTTTCGGAGTTTGACAGCCAGCAACTCCTTCCTTAGCCTGCGAGGAAGTGTGCCTGGAACAGCAAGACATTAAAACCCACTAAACGATAACCTTAAAAGAGCTTTTGAAGAATTTCTCCATGGTTCAAAAATAAATTCTGAGACAAAGAGCTGTGGATGTCTAACAGACTTCAGAGATCAATGAAAGTGAAGTCATCGGCCACTTTATTAGGCATGATTATTTGTCAAAACAACATAATCTGTTCAGTCCTCAAGGCTACTGAAGTTAAAACCGAACATCAGAATGAAGAAGAGTAAGGATTTATGTGACTTTGAGCATGGTTGTTGGTGCTAAACCAGAGGTCTGCAAACTGTACAACCCCCTCAGTCCACCCACATAAAACTTGTTTCGAGTAATTGTTACCGGACATTTTAAAAGTAACATTTATAATTTTTATTAAACATCTAGTTCTCTTGCCCTGCGATGGACTGGCTCTCTGTGTACCCCGCCTGATTGCCTATTTACCGCTGGAGATAGGCACCAGCCCCCCCTCACGACCCTACATGGACAAAGCGGGTTCAGACAATGGTTGGATGGATGGATCTAGTTCTCTTTCAGATTTCTGGAAATGACTTAAAAATTCTGAGAATAATTCAGACCTAAACGACTACTGTCGGGTTTCTGATTATTTTCTAAAATTAAAGTCAGAAATCATTTGTTCTCTTCCGTGATTCAGAGATTTGTTGCCATTTCTTTACAAAAGCACTATGTTGTTTTCTAATATTAAGTTTTAAGAAGAAAATGTGAATAATTTAAAAAATAATTTTTAACCTAAGTTATTTATTGTGTGTGAAAATTCTGCTCTTTAGCACCACACAGTTCAGAGAAGGTATTACAGCTACGGTAGCCTACAAGCACTGCTTCTCAACTTTGATGTAGGATGTGTTTGTTATTCAAACTAACCAACAGTGTATTTATGCTCTTCTTCCTCTGAGTTGGTTTGGCAGACCGCATGCTTCCAGGACGTTATGTTGCCCCCTGCTATTTCTTTTGGCTTACATCATGTCAAAGTGCAAAAAGCAGAGCATGTCCCTAAACAGCCACTGTATTTCAAGATGGTGCGTGACTATGGAGAGTCTACCACAGTTGATGGCCCAATACCAATACTCGCACTGCACCCTACAGTCTTCAGCAAAGTGCACATGGAGCAAGTGCCCAGTAAGGCTTTGCGTCTGTAGTACACAACTGCCTAATTGGGACAGGGAGCATTGCATCATCGACCGTAATGCATGCTGGTCACTGTTTGTGCTACTTTATAATAAACCTTTAACAATTTTAAAACAAACAAAAACTTTGAAAAAAAAAAACCCCCAGTAATTCTTAGTCTGAAACATTCAGAGCATGAATAAATATCATTAATCGTCTTAAAACTAACTTTTGTTTGGAAATATATATTTTCAAAAAAGGCACTTGAGCCATTGTTCCGCCTTCTTCTCAAAAGTCCCACGCAGCAATGGATTGTGGGTAATTCCCAATGCCCGCATCAATACAGACTTGGGCAAAGTGTGGATCAAGGGTGCAAAAGGGGTGTGGTCAACTTCAGCACTTGAGGATTGGGACACCCTAAGCCAGGGCTATTTGATTCTGGGCCTGGAGGGCTGGTATCCAGCATGTTTTAATTTTAACCCTGCTTCAACACACCTGATTTCAATCAGCAGGTGATTAATAGGTTTCTGCAGAGCCTAATGAACTGCTTCACAGGTGGTCCAACCGCTGAATAGTGTGTTGGAGCAGATAAACCACTAAAATGTGCTGGATACTGGCCCTCGAGGCCAGGAACTGAATAGTCCTACCCTACACACACCCCTAGACTGGAATATGCAATTGAGGGGCGCAAAGGTGGAAGTGCGAGCATTGGGCATATATATATATATATATATAAATGTAAAATGTCAAGCAATTAGGAATACTTAGAATATACATTAGTGAGCAATATTAATGGGATACACAGAGTTTGATAGTAAACAAGTAAAAATATTACACACTGGGCCTTTAAGGGCCATTGAGGAAGGTCAGAAAGCCCTTGGGGCTCCAGAGCCACATGTTGCAGACTCCTGTGCTAGACCAAAGTGGTCTGGATGGTTTAGAAACGGGTGGGGTTTTCACCCACAACCATTTCTAAGGTTCGCAGAATGCACATCACGCTGAACCTTAAAACATGGACTGGAGCAGCGGACGATGACACCAGGTGTCACTCCTGTTAGCGAAAAACAGGGAATTAGAGAGATGTATCCTAGGCTGATGTCATAAAGTTAATTTTGAATCAAAACGTTTTTTAGGCAAAGAACAGACTGTTTATGCCAGGTAGCTGAACTTTGTTTGCATCTTTTTTTCCTGTGAAGTCTAGCCAAATAAAAAAAACTATAAATTAAAAGTGAAAATTTCACTTTTTAGCCTTTTGTTCACACATTCAAACTGTTACAATAAACTTTGAGCAATAGTACAACTTTGTTGAATCGCTGCGTTTCTTTTCGTCTAAAATTTTATTTAACATCTGACATCAAAATGGCAGAGATTTAAAGTTCTAGATATATGCTCTCTTTCATGGACAACACAATGGTTTCTCTGCAGTTTGATGTGCATTTCCCCAGAAATCTAACTGTGTCGTGACTGTATACTTCTCAGTAAGTAGTATTTATATCAGGTTTTGTTTTATTCAGATGTAATGGAGCTGTTGAGTTTAAAATAAAAAAAACTGACGAGATGTGCTTGAAGGCATGCACTCGGGAACCCCATGGTGAAGCATTTTAAGGGTCTATTTGCAGACAGATGAAAACACTCCATCACAGGTTTATATTCTCAACAGCACACTGAAGCTTGCTTTAATATTCTCTGTCTGAGTTTTACATAAACCCAACAAGGAAGCATACAGCAAGCAGCTGTAAGTTCTGCGCTGATCCCTAAGATTTGGTTTTTAAGGATAAAAAAGTTTCACAATAAACATCTTCAAACTTTAGTTCATCTGTAGTTTAAAACAAGCCTTAAACAAGAAAAATTAGCAGAGAACGGATAAAAACTGCACTCTGCAGCGGAGATTCTTCAGTGTTCCTTCCTTTTAGTCTTATTTCAGAACTGCTTAGAATAAAAATAAAACAATTTGTGATGTAAACAAATCCTTGGAGCTGTGAGACTGACCAGAGATGACAGACTCGTTCCAGCCTTCCAGGTCAAAGGGGAGGCCTGAGGTGTTGGAGAAGCACTGGTCCAGCCGTACGTTCTCCTTGTTCTCCTCTGCCTCCTTCTTGGGCCAGTCAGACCCTCCTCCCATGCAACCATGCTGGTTTTCTGAGCTACAGGAGCGAGACAGCCGTCCGTCCGAACACCAGAGTCGTGGGGGCGAGCCCTGCTCACACCCTTCGTGGACACTGAGGGGACACATGAAAGAAGACAAGTGGAAGGATAAAGGCACGAGACTCAAAACTTGACTGTGAGCCAAGTCATTTATAGGTTTCTATAAATAAACATAGATTTTTTTAAAAGCACCAAACAAACCAGAACACTAAAGGAACATGTTGCTCTGTTCACATTCTGGTCATATTTTCTACAGGAAGGAATGACAGAAATTGAAACCATGCCGACAATTATTAAACAAATACATTTTCAATTTTGTTTTCTGAAAATAATTAAAAAATGACTGGGGCTGTGCTGGTTGGCACGGCTCTGCAATATCGCATGGACATCAGGGGCAGTTCCACTGGATTGGCAGACCAGGGTGGTGGTCCCCCTATTTAAAAAGAGGGTCACAGGGTGTGTTCCAACTACAGGGATCACTCTCCTGAGCCTCCCTGGTAAAGTCTATTCCGGGGTTTTGGAGAGGAGGGTGTGGTGGATTGTCAAACCTCAGATTCAGGAAGAGCAATGTGGTTTTTGTCCTGGCCGTGGAACACTGGACCAGCTCTACGCCCTTAGGGGGATCCTGGAAGGTGTGTGGGAGTTCGCCCAACCAATCTACATGTGTTTTGTGGATGTGGAGAAGGCGTTTGACTGCGTCCCTCATTGGGCCCTGTAGGGGGCCCTGTGGGGGGTACCCTGGGAGTATGGGGTACCAGCCCCTCTGATACGGGCTGTTATGGGCCATTCTCATCTGTACCGGGTCGGCCCGGGCCGGGTAGCGTAGGTTGTTTACATATCTGGGTGGCCTGGTATTTTTCCAGGCCAACCAAGGCTCATTCTCAGCCCTCTTCTCGAGGGGGTCTGCTTCAGGCCGACCAGGGCCAACACACCCACTGCTGACAGCAAATTCACACCTTCCATTAGAGCAAGCCTCTGATTGGTGGGTAGAATCAGCCCACATATGCTTAAGGCAAGGATGTGTGGAATCAACCGGGCCAGGCTGGGGCCGACTGGGGCTACCCGGCCCCGGCCGACCCGGTACAGATGGGAATGGCCCATTAGGTCCCTGTATGACCGGTGTCAGAGCTTGATCCGCATTGCCGGCAGTAAGTTGAGATTGTTCCCGGTGAGAGTTGGGCTTTGCCAGAGCTGCCCTTTATCACAGATTCTGTTCATAACTTTTATAGACAGGATGCGCAGCCAAGGTGTTGAGGGGATCTGTTTTGGTGGTCTGAGGATTGAATCTCTGCTGCTCTGACAGTAGAATGCTTCTTCCGCTCCGGAACAAGGTCCTGCCCCAAGTGGAGGAGTTTAAGTATTTTGGGGTCTTGTTCACGAGTGAGGGAAAGATGGAGCGCAAGATTAATAGTCGCATTGGTGCTGCGTCTGCAGTGATGTGAGCGCTGTACAAATCTATCGCGGTGAAGAGAGAGCTAAATGTGAAGCTCTGGATTTAATGGTCGATCTACGTTCCTACCCTCACCTATAGTCACGAGCTTTGGGTAGTGACCAAAAGAATGAGAATGGGGATACACGTTACTTTTCTCCGCAGAGTGGCTGGGCTCTCCCTTAGAGATAGGGTGAGAAGCTCGATCATCCGGGAGGGGCTCAGAGTAGACCCGCTGCTCCACCACATCGAGAGGAGCCAGTTGAGGTGGCTCGGGCATCTGATTAGGATGCCTCCTGGATGCCTCCATGGTGAGGTTTTCTAGGCACATCCAACTGGGAGGAGACCTAAAGGAAGACCCAGGACACGCTGGAGGGACTATGTCTCTCGGCTGGCCAAGGAACACCTTGGAGGAGCTGAACCAAGTGAATGGGGAGAGAGTCCGGGCCTCTCTGATTAGGCTGCTGCCCCTTTATCACTGAACTGACCCTGGATAAGCAGATGAAAGTCCCATTAGTCATCACACCCTGGTGAAATTCAGTGGGGAGCGGTGAGCTGCAGCTGTGGCCGTGCTCGGAAATATTTGGCGGTTTAGCGCCCCCCCAATCCAACCTTTTAAAGCTGAGCGTCAAGCAGGGAGGCACTGGGTCCCATTAAGTTTTTGGTATGACCCAGCCACTGAGAAGCTTGAGAAAGCATATTAAAGAAAAATGTGACTGGAACAGATAGGTTTTTTTTTTGCTACACATTGATGTTATTGTGTTATTTACATGTCGGTTTTCGTAACAGTGGTCAAGAAGCCAAAAGACGTATGAGACTGACCTCTCCTGTCTGTTCTTGGAAGCAAAGGCTCTCTGCAGCTCCTCCATGATGCAGCTGGGGGGCATGGGGGGGTGTATCATGTTGCCCAGATGTGGGGACCCTGAGGGGTTTGCCAAGGACCCTCGGAGCGACAGGGTCATCGAAGCCATGCTTTCTGTGGCCCTGGGAGGGGGCTCCTTTGGGAGGTAGGAGTTGGGCAGGTGAGCAGGAAGTGATGTAGGTCCTGAATCTGACAGGAGACACCAGCAGAAGATTATTAGATAATCTGTTTTGTTATGACGCAGGTTTAGAGTTTATATGTGGCAGTTTCATTTCTTTTTATAGTTTAACTTATACAGGCCCTTTTTTTTAACCACAGTGAGGAAAAACTTTACTAGATATCAAGATCAAATCTTTCTGCAAGCTCACCATCTCCAGAGCTCAGCTGGGGCACCAGTTTTGGAGGGACTTGAGGTGGAGAGGTTCCTGGAGGAATCTCCTCTTCTGCTCCTTCTTCCACCTGATCTCCTGAGTCCTGCAGCCCCTCAGGAAGATCTCCTGCCGAGCGCACCTCCTCCTTTCCTTCATTCTCCAGTAGCAATACATTCTCCTCCACTCGATCACCGTCCTGGAGCGGGGTAGCTACTGAGGGAAAATATAAAATATTCTTGAGATTTGCTGTAGAGCAAGACAGATGAACAATTCTTCAATTAGAGCCAATCAGCATCGGTCATGTTATAATTTATAAGACAACTGCATCTTCACCTTCAGGAGAGTTCGATACACAAATCAAAATCAGTGAAATTTTAAGTTGCTGAAACATTTTAAAGACAAAAAATATCTGATGTGTCAGATGTTGTGACAATAAATTATAAAATGTTCAGACACCATTACTTCCTGCACATTTTGTACAGATTCACAGAATAAAGGTCTCAGCCAGCCGGTGTCAGTAACATTCACTTGTCGTTGCTGCCCTCTAGTGGATATTATGGGCATTCTCATGTTACACACCAATGTTTTATTCTGAGGAAATTAATGTCAAAACTAATTTTAACCTTTTATAAAGTACAACTTCAAGGGTCCTATGGCAAAAAGACATTTAGTTTTTGGTGAAAATAAAAAACTGAGGAGCATGTCAGAAAATAATAAAATAAAAGAAGAATAGTGTCAAGATAAAAGTCTACATCATGCTAAATGTCACTAATTTGACCGGCAGGTGGATTAAAATAATCTTTAACAACAACAGGAGTTGTTCTACCTGATGAAGAGTGGTCTTCCTCAGGACCGAGGTATTCCACACTGCTGACTGTGAGGTTTGGGTTAAAAGGTCCCCCGAATCCCCCGAGCAGGACGGCTCCGTCTGAGCAGCCCTCGGTGGGAGAGCTGGGGTTGTGGCACATGAGACCGCTGGATAATGCTACATCTGTGAATAAATAATCTGGGTTATTATGAATCACCCAGCACACTTTTGCTGGTGATTTTCCCACAGGCGGTGCAATGTTATAAAAACATGTATCATCTCCTCTCAGGGTTCAATTTTTCAAACTAGAAAGAGATCATGGGTTCTCTCTGTCTCTCTTGAGCTCCTTCATCTGGTGTTTTGTGTCTTTTTGACAAAATGAGCAGAAGAAATAATTAGTGAAGATAAAAGTGAGATGTGTTGATAGGATTTCAGTAGCTGTCGACGAGAATAAAATGAACAAAAAGGACTTTCTCTGCCTTTTGATGAAAACTCTAGTTTGTATTCCCTCTCTTCTGAGTGTTTACACTGACCTCTCATGTTCTAAAAGCTGCACGTTTATTTCTATGTTTAACATTTACTAGGATGTTTTAGGGCTGATAATTAAGATTTTTTTCTTTGCTTATTTTGATTATGAATACAATTTAAATCCAGTCCTTTAATTGGATAAATGTCTAAATGAAATGTGGACATAGAAAAGTCCATAAACTCGATGAAGACTGCAAGAACTGAAACAAAACCATTTAATGGCTCTTTTATTATTGTATGAATAGTTGTCTCTCACTCAGTCAGATGTGCAAAAGACTATTTTTAGAACAAAATGATATTAAATCCTCCCTGGCTTACAGTAAATCACCAACGTTTAGACACATACTTAAAAGTTCTGGTGATCAAAAACAAAGCTGGATGTGTTTGCCTCATATGAGAAATAAAATGTCTTAAAGGAAGTCCTGCTGTCCAAAGAGACGATAAATGCATTTATTTGTTTATTTTTACAATTAAATATTTATTCATTTATTTGCATCTTGATCTTTATTGCCAATCAATTTCCCTCTGGGATTAACTCATTCACTGCCATTGACGACAAAAGTCGTCATTTTAAATCCAAACTTTGAAAATTGTTTGCAGCAAACGGCTTTACTGATCAGGAATCGTCTGGCAGTGAATGAGTTAATAAAGTATTTTTGAATAGAATAGAATTGAATTGAATTTGTGTAGAATATTAATACATTTTTACTTAAATTTTTTTGCTAATTTGTATTATTATTATTATTATTATTATTATTATTTTTTTTTTTTGGTCAGAATAAATTTTCCATCATGATGGTCTCATGTGCAATTTGTTGTATGTTTTATAAAAATCTACATTAGTAATTAGGATAAACACAAATGTCTATAACTAGTTATCTATGTATGTATAGATCCTAAATGTCATTGTTTAAAGCCTGATTTTAGCTGAAAGTATTAATCAGCAGCCCTTTTCATCAGAGGTTAATTATAACCTGATAAGAACTGAATCCGTTCAGGCAGCTGATTCCTGAGTAGCCACATGCCTTCACCCTAAACATGATTATATTTTCTAATTGGATTCATTAGAGCCACCAGGGACAAACGTGAAGATGAAGAATGACGCCCGCCCTCAGCTCTGACTCCCATCTCCTGTACCTGTGGAGCTCTGCTTGAGCTTTTCGTTTTTCTTTTTCCTCCACTTCCAGGGCTTGAAGATTCGCCCCAAGGTGGCCAGCTTGCTGTTCCGTCGTATCGGTGGCGTGTGCACACCCGTCACCAAGCAGCCTGTCCTGAGCACCCTCTGCTGGTCCACAAGTTCTACTGCAGAGACAGAGGAGAGAGGGATGACCGGGTAAAAGGAGGGGCAGGGGATATGTGGATGAACAGGATCAAAAATAAAGAAAGCAGGCAAAGGAGATAAGCCAGATGGGAGAAAAGGATAAGAAAAAAAAATCCAGAATGAAAAGAGAGGTAGAGAGAAACAGAAGTCCAATTAGTATGCTCACCTTACTGAATAAACCATGACACAGTCCAAGTGAACGGATTGAATTAGAAAGACTAATTTGATTGGTACACTCCCCTAAAGCTGTTATTTTCCCTCCCTGCAAGACGAATGTCACAAATCAAAACATATTTTAAGAACAGGATGCATTTTGCATGATGCAGTTGAGCCACAACAGGAAGACCGCAGGTTTGAATCCCGGCTGGGACCTTTCTGCACTGAGTTAGAATTTTCTCCCTGTGCATAAGTGGGTTTTCTCCGGGCGCTCCAGCTTCCTCCCACAGATCAAAAACATGCCAGTTAAGCTGAAACTGTAAATTGCATTTCTGCTGACCAACAGGTGCATCGCCCTCGCCGCTGCACCAAAGCTTTTGGCTCTGTTGACTGTGTCTGTGCCCTGCTTTCCGCCACACATCCCTTTTGCTGCATGAATGTGTGTCATTAGCTCCGACTACCATCAAAAACATTATTTTCAGGAGTCTAAATGAACCATTTTCCCATCATCCCATCTGCTTCCCCCATTTCTCTGCTGTTATTTTAGCACACCCGCAAATCTTCAGCTGTTATTTTGAGATTCGGAGAACAGAATGCTTGCCTGTTTGTGTTTTGTGAGAAGAAAATAAATTGTTTCATTCTATAAATAAAAATCCCACCAGCTTCCAGAAATGACTTGTGGAGTTTTCCAGTCATTGAGACATTAAAACAAACACGATGCATGAAAATAACTCACAAACATGCTCTAAATATTTGAAAAGGACAATCCAGCCACATTGATTTGTCTTTTGTGATGGATGAGCTCTCTCCGTGATGTTGTCCCTCTTTTCTCTGCCCAGAGGAAACATGCATTTGAATGAACGATGGCTGTGACTCATATAAGGTGAAATGTGGGCCTATAAATCCATGCGCACACATCGCTGTCGAGCTGCCAGCTTCTGAGAAAGCCAGAGAATTGAAATTCACATTAAAAGCTGATTTTAGGAGCCACATGCGTCAGTAAGAAAGTCAAATCTTTGTTGAAATATTCAGCTGAAGGGGAAACAGGTCTGTGATGGAGGATGAGTACGAGGGCTTGCAGAGGGAGGAGGGGGGCTTACAGTGAAGATACAGCTTACTACATTTCATGTTTTTCTCAAGCTCTTGCCTCTTCCTTCAAGTACATGAAAGTGGATGGAGACGCTGATTGGGGGAGGAGTCTGGTGTAAAGAGGAGCATTAAAACATGGGGTGGTAGGCGGATGAAGAGAAAGAATGAAAAAGCAGGAAGCAGAGCAGCAAAGAGCAATAAAAGAAGGCGATTAAAAGTTTAGGGGGTTTGGCTCTAAACACGAAGGAAGCAGATCCTCTCTCATCATCACCGCTGTCATTGCTGTTGCAGTCGCCGTGGCGCACGCAGAATCCAGGTCAAGCTTGAAGGAAACAGACAGTCGGAGAGGAAAGGGGGAAAACAAGCTTAAAACAAGGAGGGGGAGGCGTTGTGTCTGTGGATGAAGGAGACAGTGTGTGTGGGGAGAGGAGGAAAGGGGGAGAGGAGGTGGGGTCAGGCTCGCCGCTGTTGCTATGGTGACCACATCCAGATGCTGCCGCAGCAGCGGGAGCCAGAGGAGGGTTGGGTGGAGCGAGCTGAGCTGGAGCTTAGAGGAGAAAAGGGAGAGGTGAGGAGGGGAAAGGAGGCCCCCCGACCAACACAGGCGACGGCCACATCTGAAAGCATTGGCAGCTCCAGGTGCATTGTGGGTAGAGCGGTGAAGCCACACAGAGGCCTGTCTGTATACATATATATTGAAACAGGGAAGGAAACTGGAGGAAGGAGGAGGAGGAAGAGAGAAGGGACATTCCAGGGAGAAGAAGGAGGTGGGGAGATGGGAAGGGGCTGTTGCTATACGGAAGAGCTTGCAGGAGAATCTGCCTCGACCAATCACGGAGCGGCTATTTATAATGCATATCAATAAACTTCAATTTTCATAAAAAGCGTTGGTTATTTGCGGGAAGTGATAACTGGCGAGAATCAGGTGGAACTACAAACGCACGCATGCGAAACATTCTTTCATCAAATGCACAGGATGAATCAAAATGTGTGTCAGATCGCTGTGAATGAACTACATGTGGCATGTGGCGAAGATAATTAATATGCTAATGCAAATAGGATTTATTAAATCCATGTGTCACGCTCATGCATGAACCACGTGAACTCAGCAGCACAAATCAGAGCAGACTGTTGTTACAATCAGAGGGAGGGGTCGCAGCTTCACTCACATATTTCATTCAAAAGATGTGGAAAAAAACAGTTGAAGTAACATAATTAACGGATGCTAAAATATTTGATATTTTCCAGTTTGGGCTCAGAAATGGTCTTAAGATAGAATAAAGTGACAAAGCATTTGTGTTTTACATCAGGAAGGAACCACACCCAAAACTTACCAGTATGTCAGCCCATTTACCCCCCCCCCCCCCCCCCCCCCCCCCACACACACACACACACACAAACATACAGAGCACATTTCACAAGTACACAAAGTAAATGTGAACCAACAACAACCTTTCACCCACTTAAATTACAGAATAAGACAATAGAGACAAAGCTTTGTCGGTGTTGGAGCTACAAAAAGTCTGAGTATAAAAGACGTGTGGCTGTGCTGCAGTGGTACAACCACAGAGATGAATAATAAAATGTGTGTGAGTAATAAGATAACTGAAATCTAGCTGGCACTGTAGATTTTACAGTAAAAGGGAGTCAGACTGAGTAGAGGGACAACATCAGTGGCACAGATTCAGCTCTGGGGTTGTCTGAGGCAAAGCTTCCCCGCATCACCTGATAGAATGACTTGTGCCTGGGGGGATGGGCTCTCTGAGTGGCAAAAAATAAAAATAAAAACATCTTAAAATACAAATATATCTATCATCTATCTATCTATCTATCTATCTATCTATCTATCTATCTATCTATCTATCTATCTATCTATCTATCTATCTATCTATCTATCTATCTATCTATCTATCTATCTCTCTCTCTCTCTCTCTCTCTCTCTCTCTCTCTCTCTCTCTCTCTCTCTCTCTCTCTCTCTCTCTCTCTCTCTCTCTCTCTCTCTCTCTCTCTCTCTCTCTCTCTCTCTCTCTCTCTCTCTCTCTCTCTCTCTCTCTCTATATATATATATATATATATAATCAGGTTATTAGCATGACTGCTAACTATGTGCTAACAAGATGAGTCTTTGACTTTGTTTTGGATGTTCCTGCAAATACAGTAAAGCTGAATTGAAAATGGTCATGATTTAATTTAATCACTTTTTGTAGCATCGCTGCAGTTGTGAAGCACCCAAATATTTACAGCAATCTGTTGTCCAACAAGCAGAAAATATTTTGACATAGCAGATTTTAGTCAGATTTAAGCGCTCGCCCCATAACCGGAGGGTTGCAGGTTTGAGTCCCATCAGTCACAGTGGTTGTTTCCTTAAGGAAGACACATAACTCGCCTTGTCTACAGGTCGAAGGGCAAGCTGTGGCTACAATGTAGAGTGTGAATGGACGGATGAGTGCTTGTGATGTAAAGCACCTTGGGGGGTTTGTATAACAGATGCTATATAAAATAAAGTCCATTTACCATTTCATAACTAATCACTATGATAATTTGTTTGGTTGTAAGATATAAAATCAGTTTTCATTAGTGGGTGCCTGTTGATGCACATCCAATCCAATCAATCCATTCATCCATTCATTCACTTTTATGTATCCAAATAAGTCTCACTGAGACAGAGACCATCATACAGTCACTACATTGTGAGAAATTCTAGACAATCCATCCAGAGCTTCATGAGATATGTTGCTAACAAGCAGGCAAACAGAGGCAGACAAAGGCAAAAACATTATGGCACCCCATTTGCTGTATGGTCTATTAAAATGATCCCCTTACAGAAATAAACCTTTCTAGACGCGTTGTTTCTGCACTCACCTGTGATGAAATGACTGTCCATTAAAATTTCAGATAATAAATCCATCAGAATATGACCTTAACCTGACAAATAAAATTAGTTTACTTTAAAACAACAAACCATGCCAATCTGTGTTAAAACCTTCAGCCTTCGTTAATGTCCTGTTAGAGGTTTCAGAGGTCTGTTCCTCTCTTGGTGTTTGTTAGCATTTCTTCACTGGCTTTGATAAAAATGAGAACATTGTCAAATAACCAGAAAAGAAGCTAAAACCTGCAAAAATATGTGCAAATTACTGCATGAATTTATGCTGGAATATTAAAAGGGGTTCTCTACTTTCATGCTAAACATTTTGCAGGCAACAACGTGAACAAAAATGACAAATTAAGATGCTAAAACTATTAAAAATGCCCTATTAGATGCCTAATCCCCTTGTTGCACAGAGCTGTCACCACACCTCCACATGCTGTTAGCACCTCTAAAACAACCTGATTACAGTTGTTTTACGATTGCTAAAACTCAAAAAGCAAAAATGAGGCACAATTTTCACAACCTCTACTTCTGTTCCCAATCGCTTTGACTCAGTTTATCACTACTTAAGATTTCCTTATCATATTAGAACTCTGATTTTCCTCCTTTACACTCTGATGTCAATTTCACATTACCTTGCTGTCAAAACACAGCACACAATTTTCAGGTTTACACACACTTTCCACATAAATTCTCAAAGCTATTCCAATCAACAACACACAAATATTCAAATCTGTAAACTTTGGGGTCTGGCGAGCAATTTGCAATCAGGGACTGCAGCATAAAAGTAAGTTTCCACAAGGCTACCCAGGTGTATGAGTGGTTTCAGGACCACCCACGGTTTTCCATTTATATACCTTCCACCTTATTCCCCTTCCTCAATCCCATTGAGGAGTTTTCTCAGCCTAGAGGTGGAAGTTGTACGAAAGGAATCCACAGAGCCAGGTCCCACTGCTTCAAGCCATGGAGGAGGCTTGTAGAGATTGTGGCCTTTGAGGCCTGTCAGGGCTTCATCAGGCACTCGAGGCGGTACTTCCAGCGCTGTTTGGACCAGGAGGACATCGCCTGTGATGTTGATGAGGCCCTCTGGCAGACAGAGACCGGTGGCATGATGCCCCATGATTATGCTGGGGGTGGGGGTGGGGGGT